AGATACAGGTGAACATTTACCTTGATACGAACCGTATCCATACACAATCCAAACCTAAGTTTGCTATTCTTCACGATAACAGTCAGTGGCACGTGATAAAGTGAGGTTAAGTGAGTAAAGCGAATCGGGAATGAACTACTTTTGACTCGGCCCTGCGGCAGCTTGACAACATTGAAATGTTGCAGCAGCAAATCAAAATCAACATTTATCAAATACAGTATATAGAAGAATCGATAATTGTAAGACACAGCTGCTCTTTCAAAGATCAGCAACTGTTTTAGTCGTTGACTGATCCAACTATAGAGTTACGAATTGTAACCCCGCCAAAGGGGAATGTCTAGTAGAAAGGGCATGCTGATAGCAAAAGCTGTAATTTAAGTGTAGCCTCACTATGGTAGTGAAAAACATTTAAGACCACTAAGTAAATAAACTATTGCATCCACTGCTTCTTTGGCCTACATAAGCATATAGTTTTCTATAATAGTTTAGAAATTTAAATTATTTACTATACGGATTTACACTTTCTGACACTGTCACATACTAGCGGAACACCACTATGCTCGTTGACTTGCCAACATCTTGTACCCTCACCACCCATGTAAATGAAAGTTAAAATTTTTTTTTCTCTCCCCAAATAGAGTAGATCACTTTTCATTCATAAGTTTGTCGGGCTGGTCGACTTTACTGAAGGTTACGGGTGTGTCCCGCTCTGTTGTTTGCTTTCAGGGATGTCTTGCATTTACGTTTTTATTCCAAGAAAGATAATGCATGTGACATAGGTTGCAGCACTCTCTAGGGAGTTTGTGTTAATGCCAGTTTTTCCATGTTTTCTGGAGTGTTAAAAGCGCTGGCTTGGTGAAATATACAACACTCGATTTCAACGGCACTGTAGAAAACCCTAACCTTGTGCAAGGTGACAGGTACATACACTACCAATCGTAAGTAGTAGTAAGGAACTTTTACCCTACCAGGACATCACACCGAGCGATAAACACCCGGTGACACAAAGTGCCACCATACAGATAAGGATCACCCGTGAAGAGGTCCTGGAAACCGCGTTCAGCCATTAGACCATATTTATGGCGGGGCTATATTGCAACCCCTGGCAAGAGTGGAGCTTCAAAATAACGAAAAATTGCATCCCACGGTAGGATGACTGGTTTATTTTCAGAAGTGAGCTAGTGTGTTTATGGGTGGGGCGTGGGGAGATTAACGTTACGTGTACCTAAATTAACTATATTTGATCTTCTTCCATAAGTCAACAGTCCATTTTTTATAAGTATGGTTTAAGATGCTGGAAAAAGTAATCTGTTCGATCCTATTCTATAGGGACGAACAACCCGAACTTTCCGCCTGAGTTTACAGCCGGTGAATACGAAAAAGAAGAAGAAGAAAGCAAAATGTGAAACAAAACAAGTTAATTTTAGTCAAAAAAATAATTACAAGAAATATCAATTTAAAATAAAAATGCTCTGTGGACACAATTAATACTGATATCCCAATTATAACCCTGAGGGTTTAACAAGATACTTTTGAAAAATTACTAGTACTACTATTACTCTCTCTCTCTCTCTCTCTCTCTCTCTCTCTCTCTCTCTCTCTCTCTCTCTCTCTCTCTCTCTCTCTCTCCCGTATTCTGATGACTATATACGCCGCAGACATGTAAATCCTGAATTCAACATTTGTATAATGAAAACGAATCAGGACTGAGAGCATATGCCTGTACACAAGATTGGTGAATGTTGACTGCTACAGACGGTCGAGTTGATTTCACTAGTGGGCGTTGCTGGCTGCTTGTGCGGTGCTATAGAGGAGACTACGTTTGTTCTTCCCACCTCGTCCCTGGACCACGACAGTTGGTCTGTCTAACAAAGACAGCAAGGTAAACCGTACAATAATAAAACTATATTATAATATGTTAAATACTACTATATTAGGTTCTCCTTAAAACTACGGCCACTAATTATGGAGTACGCCGGAGTTCAGTCCCCTGGCCGCATTGCAATTAGGGAAATTACGGAGTGGACAAGAGGGAACGACACAAATGACGTAATTACTGTGTGTTGGCGATAGATGCACTGCTGTCATAATAGGGGTAGGGTTAGGAGTGGCCGTAGTTTTACGGAGTACCAGTACCCTAACCCTAACCCTATTATGACAGCAGTGCATCTATCTCCAACACACAGTAATTATCTCATGGGTTCACGCTGTCTATCGCCAACACACAGTAATTACGTTATTTGTTTCGTTCCCTCTTTTCCACTCCGTAATTGCAATGCGGCCAGGGGACTGAGCTCCGGCGTACTCCATAATAAGTGGCCGTAGTTTTAAGGAGAACCCTATATTATATATATTAAATACTTGGATTGCTAAATTTAGTAAGTAAAAGCTTTTATAAGTAATTATATATATATATATATATTGGACCCAGCTATCCTGTCCAGTAACCGTAACGCACCTGACATTGGTAAGGCTAGGCTGGTGGGAACATGCAGGCCGGCAGACGTCAACTCGCCCCAACTTTAGCACTGCTCAGAGTTGTTGGTGTAATTATATCCTAACGGTTGTTTCTCGAGTAACTCTTGAGACGTTGGAGCCTGATCTTCTTTGGGTTCTCTGGCTCTCCAATATGCACTAATTATGGCTGGAAATTCTCATAACCATTTTGTTTGACTTCCTACCTGGTCGCACTTGAAATAGTCTAATGTTTACGGTGTTACTCATAGACACAGTGGTGCCTCAGTACATGTCCTTATTCCCTTCCAGATTTGTGGATGTATACAAAACAGGGCGTATATGAAATACATTTTCCGGCTATCCTCCGACTAACGGAGCTAATGTTTGCGCGTAGCGGCGTGGGAGATACTCTCGGCGGAAGTCCACAATTTACATGTGACTGAGGCCCTGTTAGGATATATTTTCGGCCTCGATAATTTGGGACCGTTATTCGGAGGATAGCCAATTTTCCTATAAGAAATTAAGGAGAATGATTAATCCATTCCTTAAAAAAAAATCATATTATTGGCATGTTATTCTATTATAAGGCTGTATAAAAGAATGTAAACACTGCTTAATACTGAAGTATATAAATACAAAAGCAATTAGATGAAATAAATGAAAATCTATTCTCACTTGACCTTGCTGAGTAAAGTGGAAGTGCCTACTAGGATAGTCTTGAGAAGGGAGGAGGTTATTGTTTGGAGTCCTCTTCCAGTCCAGTAAAAAATTCAGCAATATGAAATGCAGGTTGTTATTGCTGCTGCTTTTTTGTTCCCCGCCCCTCCCCTCCTCCCCTTTTTTCTGTTTTTCTCTCTCTCTCTTTTCCTTACTTGGATCTGCTTGAAGCTCACAGTTTGACTTGAATCTTGACACTTGGTAGGAGTTGTTGGGAGCCGAATCCACTGCTGTCAGTGCCGAGGTAATGTAACAGATGTGCTGATTTTCACAGACTAGGCCGTTATGTGAGGACATAAGATTGCTTGGGCATTTACAGCTTGCTGGGGCCGTGTTAGCGAAATCGATAAGCGGCTCGCCTTCAAATCCAGCTGCGACTCGCTGCAGCCCACGGTCGGTGTTCGAAACCGGGCGGTTCCCGGGGTTCACCCAGCCTCTAGGAAATGGGTACCAGAGTCGACACTCTGGGGTAAATGAAGGAACGTCGCTGTAGCTACAGAGTTACGTGCGGATGGCGACACAGGTAGACATTTCTTATCAGCTGTCCGTATTGGTGGCAGAGCACTTATGGTTTATAACCGTGTGCAATGACGCTGGTTCACATCTCCCGACTTTACCTTTACCTTTTACCTTTACAGCTTGCTCTCCAGGCAGAACAGTTCAAGAAGCCAGCGAGGCCTTCTCCGTGACTACTAGCAGCATGACGATGGAGGTTATGGCGGTGACATAAGCTTTCTGTGGCTAGAATCACAGCACTATTCTTGTGTGTGTGCACTAAATGGTTCTTTGAGCATGATCAGGCGGGTCAAGGCAGGCTGGTTACGCAGACAGTAGACTGAGTCATTGCAAAACTCTCTTGTGTGTGCAGTTACTTTAATATTTGTCCCAGGGCAATCAGGTGTAGACTGGCAGGAGCCACATTTATTAAAGATGGCCGGCCTATGGATTACGCAGACATTGTCAGTGCCCTTAGAAAAATAGGACGTTCTCAGGATTTTGGAAGAAGCGTGTCCACATCACTGCTAAGAATACGCACACTGGACATACACAAAGGACTGGCACTATTAACTACGCAATGCTGATGAGTATGTTAAAGTAGGAATCTGAGCACCTATGGATGTGTCCAAAGTGTTGTGAAGATTATCCAACTCATAACTCACAGTTTGACTTTTACTTTTTAAAAATCAGTCCAAAGAATTCTGCCTTTTCCTCAGGATGTTTTGGATATGTGACAGCGTCAGGTTGCTCCAGACAATGCTGTTGCAAGCTTTATTTTTTGCTCTGTAACCTAGTGTCAATATTTGTTAATATTTAAAATGTACTTTATCACCCCTGAGGAGAATAAGATGGACAGGTAGATTGGTGGTGCCAGGAAAGAAGTAGGGATGAAACCAGTATTAAAATACATCAAGAGTCAACAGATCAAATGATTTAGTCATGTGTCAGGACTACCACCAGATAGTGCACCACAGAGAACCCTGTCATTAAGATATAATGAAGGTAAAGCCAGAGGTCAGCCTTTCAAGCGAGGGATATATGGAGTATTCAAGACCATAAATACTATCATCTACCAAGGCTGTCACCCAGTGACAGTGATTGATGCCAAAAGGCAGCACAGGACTAGAGAAAAAGAAAAAGAAGAAAATTGCATCATCCTACATATAAAACTATCAAGTTCTTGTAATATTTGTAAAAACAAACATCCAGTGACAGCGATTGATGCCAAAAGGCAGCACAGGACTAGAGAAAAAGAAGAAAATTGCATCATCCTGCATATAAAACTATCAAGTTCTTGTAATATTTGTAAAAACAAACATCCCCAGATCATGGCCCAACAGACTGAGCAAAGTGAACATCGCAGTCTCTACCCACCTACTGAGCCTTATGAGACAGGATTCCTCAAAGTAACTGACATACACACTCTGTATTATGAGCAATCAGGGAATGCTGCTGGGAACCCTGTCTTGTTTGTGTAAGATTTCATAACATTCTTTTCAATATTTCTTACACATAGTTATGATCATGCTCATGTGTGTGTATAAGAATAATATTCGCCTTGTACAGATTAGAACAAAAATATCATGTCAAATGTAACCTTTACTTCAGGTGAAAAAAATCATCATCTTATTGCACCATTATATATCGTATAGCTGCTCCCAATTTATTCTTCTTCTCAGGAGTATCCTATGCAATTATTTTACTATCATGGATGGAGTCCTGTCCAACAGTTTTAAGATTTCTAATCAACTTTCATCTCCTGTTTTCATCTCGGTCATTATCACTTCGTTGAGGTACAAGGTGGAAGAGACGAAGAAGAAGAAGAATCAACTTTCATCTCCTGTTTTCATCTTGGTCATTATCACTTCGTTGAGGTACAAGGTGGAAGAGAAGGAGAAGAAAAATTAACTTTCATCTTAGGGTTTCTTTTTGACATCCTTATTTCCTCAGTCCATCCCCTCCCCCTTTTCAAGTACCCATTTGGGGAATTCTTTGTTTGCTCCTCCTAGGATAAGCCCAATGTATCATCCTGCTCTAATTAGTTGTTGATACCAGGAGTTGTCCAGACATTGCTCTCATTTGTGGCCTTTCACTAAACGGAAAACATACTCACTAAATAAAAATGGTTATTGCAGTTACAAAAAGACAGTTTAAGTTTTGTACGAAACATATACCTTTGTTCCCAATAGGGTTTCTCTTGGACAGTCTTGCTTCCTCAATCTCCTATCTCCCATTTCAGTGTCTGTGTGGTGATTCTCTGTTCATCTCTTCAGGTTAGGTTAGCTGCGTATCCTTTACAGGACGTTGCAGAACCAACCACAGCAGCCCCTGGCTGTTGTGCAGTTTCTCTAGGCAAATGTACATCCAGTAGTTTGCCAGTGCTTGCTGGACGGTTGGCCCCCTGATACCACCGTCGAAATCAATGCAGGGCGCATAGTCCGCTGCTGGGATCAAACCCGGCATTACGAAGCGTTCGCATCGCCTTAGCCACAGAGCCGACGTTCATCTCTTCACAGAATATATATAGCGCCTTTTTCTGTGTCTTATAACTGTTGATACTAGTGGTTACTCAGGCATTTCTCTTTATGTTCTGTTGGCCACAACTTCAATTTACCCTAAAATGTCTATTATCTCTATTATCTCACCTGTGCCACAGAGCTAACATTTCTAGAATCTCTTTTCTATACAGTAGTTTTAAGCCAAGTCGTATGCATTTCTGACCACTGACTTCCGCAAGCTTTATTACTGCCACTGTTACATGTTTTGTTATGTGTAATCCATTAGCAGCTTTACTAATGCCACCGTTAAATGTTTTGTTTAGTGTAATCCATTGGTAGCTTTACTACTGCCACTGTTACATATTTTGTTATGTGTAATCCATTGGTAGCTTTACTAATGCCACCGTTACATGTTTTGTTATGTGTAATCCATTGGTAGCTTTACTAATGCCACCATTACATGTTTTGTTTAGTGTAATCCATTGGAAGCTTTACTACTGCCACTGTTACATGTTTTGTTTAGTGTAATCCATTGGTAGCTTTACTACTGCCATTGTTACATGTTTTGTTTAGTGTAATCCATTGGTAGCTTTACTACTGCCACTGTTAAATGTTTTGTTTAGTGTAATCTATTGGTAGCTTTACTACTGCCACTGTTACATGTTTTGTTTAGTGTAATCCATTGGTAGCTTTACTACTGCCACTGTTACATGTTTTGTTTAGTGTAATCCATTGGTAGCTTTACTACTGCCACTGTTACATGTTTTGTTTAGTGTAATCTATTGGTAGCTTTACTACTGCCACTGTTACATGTTTTGTTTAGTGTAATCCATTGGTAGCTTTATTACTGCCACTGTTAAATGTTTTGTTTAGTGTAATCCATTGGTAGCTTTACTACTGCCACTGTTACATGTTTTGTTTAGTGTAATCCATTGGTAGCTTTATTACTGCCACTGTTAAATGTTTTGTTTAGTGTAATCCATTGGTAGCTTTACTACTGCCACTGTTACATGTTTTGTTTAGTGTAATCCATTGGTAGCTTTACTACTGCCACTGTTACATGTTTTGTTTAGTGTAATCCATTGGTAGCTTTACTACTGCCACTGTTACATGTTTTGTTTAGTGTAATCCATTGGTAGCTTTACTACTGCCACCGTTAAATGTTTTGTTTAGTGTAATCCATTGGTAGCTTTACTACTGCCACTGTTACATGTTTTGTTTAGTGTAATCCATTGGTAGCTTTACTACTGCCACTGTTACATGTTTTGTTTAGTGTAATCCATTGGTAGCTTTATTACTGCCACCGTTAAATGTTTTGTTTAGTGTAATCTATTGGAAGCTTTACTACTGCCACTGTTACCTGTTTTGTTATGTGTAATCCATTGGTAGCTTTACTACTGCCACCGTTACATGTTTTGTTTAGTGTAATCCATTGGTAGCTTTACTACTGCCACCGTTACATGTTTTGTTATGTGTAATCAATTGGTAGCTTTACTACTGCCACTGTTACATGTTTTGTTTAGTGTAATCCATTGTTAGCTTTATTACTGCCACTGTTAAATGTTTTGTTTAGTGGAATCCATTTGTAGCTTTACTAATGCCACTGTTAAATATTTTCTTTAGTGTAATCCATTGGTAGCTTTACTAATGCCACTGTTACATGTTTTGTTTGGGTAAACAGTCAGTGGCCTTACTAATGCCACTGTTAAATGTTTTGTTGTGTGTAATCCATTGGTAGTTTTACTACTGCCACTGTTACATATTTTGTTAGGCATGGTGGACCAGGAGGTGGTACCTCACCAAAGGACCGCTGCTTCTTTGACCCTGCTGTCTACCGCATCATTTTGTTTGATCAGAGAGGCAGTGGAAAGTCCACCCCTGCAGCAGAGTTAAAGGTAACGTTGATCCCCTAATATAGAGTGGAATGAATTTTAGGAAATGGTATAGTTATTGATCTGTGACTGTAGCATAAATTTGCTGTCAAGCTGTACTGAACTGCATTTGTTAACGTTGGGTCTTCTTTGTTTTTTGTCTTAACTCTTTTAGGACGACATTTTTTCTGGGGTTTGGACAGCATTAAGTTTGAGAGGAATGTTTTACTGCAACATGAAAAAGCTGAAACCTTCTTGAGGAAAAAATATTGGCTGTATAGGGTCAGATAATATATCAAATTAAAGAGAAATGAATGCAGAATAAATATAAACTATTTAAATGACAGAATTACAACACAATAATATTAAAATCACACAACATTCAAGAATGTTAGACAGATATGAAGATTATTTACGCAAAAAATTGTGTGCTTATCAAAATCTTTACTTGTTCAGCAACACTGCTATCCATTTCTAAGAATTCACCTGTCTTCTCTGTTCAGTTATGTATCAGCTTGTCTTTATTTGCAACAATTAATTTAAATACTTTGATGTTATGACCATTTTTATATGACATGCCATGAACAACAACCAAAATCGGGAAAACAGATGATCCGATTAAAATATTTTGTTCAGTCTTCATCCAAAACCTATTTATCAACACAGGTTTGGCACATGCATTATCAATCATAATATCAAGACTGTTATCACTATCTGGGTGAGATTCAACAACGACAGGGCAGTATGTATAGTTCTAGGCCTTTTCCTTTATCATTTGATATAGAAAAATCACCATAAAATTGAATCGCATATAAATTATTTATTTTTTTAATCAGAAATTGATGCAAATACCATGCCGATTTCAGAAAACAAAAGGACTCATCATAAACCACTTCTGCTGTTAAGCCTCGTCGGGAGAAATAATTTGTGATCCAGTGCACGTTGGCTGCCACTGGCTATTGTCATGCCGTGAAGGCGAAAAGTGTTGACGATCCATGTTTTCTGTGGCTGTCCTCTTGCTCTTGTAGCTGATCTTCTGATATGTAGTGCTTGTGATGGTATTTGATTTTGCTGCATTCTAACAATATGGCCAAACCACTTGATCTGCTGTTTCTCGATTAATCTAGTACAAGATTATTCATTATTCATTCATTAATTTGGCTGCTTTTCTCAGGCACCTCATCTCACAGGTGATGATTTTAGGTTTATGGGCTTTAGATTGTGTAACGAAAGGACTTCATGTCGCTAATCCTAGTTTCTTTTCAAAATATGTTTATTGAAATTTGTTTTCCCTGCAAATGGAACAAAATTAGAGAGTCTCTTTGTAGCGCCAGTATACTGGTCAATAGTCCAATCAGCATAAACTCAAATGCCATTTGACTGGCGATTATTCCACAAAGAGTTAAACCTCAAATTGAATTAGATCTTTGGAGGTGTAGATATGCAAAATAGTGAGTCATATTTCATGAAAACATAAATGCAAGCTTCTGAAGTGGTTGAGGGTGAAAAGGAAGTTGCTGAAAGAAATAAAAAAGAAATTTGATTGATTTGATTTGATTCAAAAACCAACATCACAGCACTCGGGGCATTCCCATAAGTGTTCCGTCCCCATCTTCAGCAGCCAGCGAAGAGTTCCGATACTAATGGTGCCAGTAGCATTCTGATTAAACCTCCGTCTTGCCTTTCCTTTGAGCCCCCAGAGCATCTGCCAGAACCTCTCATCACTACCCCCTGAATCAATCTCACCAGACTGGTGATCCATCTGCTCCTCAGAACTGTACACGCTCTCCCACAAGGCCTTAACCGCATCTGCCTTATCATGCATCAGTAATCCACCAATTTTTGCAGAGCCAGCCATTCTTGTCCATCTGTTCATTTCCCAACACACCGGCGTGCCCTGGTTGAAAAAGTCCAGACAATACTCCTCACCTGTGTCCTCCGCAGCGAAGCATGCCTGTCCTGATCTTTCTGAGTCAGTTACAATCACGGTGTGTGTTGTGGGCTCTAGCCAGCAGGAAAGCTGCAGTTACCGCCTCCATCTCCATTCTTAAGCTGGATTTTGTGGTATCATATTCTAGGCTCTCCTGCACCACGCCTGAAACTTATCCTACAGCATCTTCTTCTTCTTCTTCTTGGTGTTCACCAGCTGTAAACTCTGGCAGAAAGTTCTGGTTGTTTATCAACTTCTGGACTGCAGTCCTGTTCCAGAACCTTAGTGTTGTGTGTGCATCTGTTTTACAGACCTTTCTTATTTGAATGCAGACTGCTGGTTCCTTGCCTCTAAGGCAGATGCACTCCGATTTCAAAGGAAGCTTCTAGTTTGTCGACTCTTACGACATGCTTTTGGGTAGGCAGTGGGTCTGTTCTTGTTTTCCCTATAATAGGGACCCAAAACCCACACAGGGAATCCTACAAGCTTCATAGCAGGAAGCACATGAGTACTTCACATTTAGGCTGCAGTTATTTGGTCCTCTGAGGGATTAGAGAGGATTGTCATCACAGTAGTCTGGACAGATCCATAGATGCTTTGATCTCCTTTCTTCTTAGTAACTTCTCATGCGTTTGATGATGTCTGTTCTGGGTTGTGTCCTTGGTGAAATGTTCTTTTATTAATATTGTGATATGGAATAGTTATGTAAATTATAGTATGTGAAAGTAGACCCTTTGCTACACCTTCATGTGTGCTGGACATCTAGGGCTTAACCTCTATTTTATCGACCAGTCAGCACGGGTGATTTAGTCAACATCACACCAGCAGCCTTTTTCCCCAGGATGTTACCTAATGCCCGTTTTAGGCTGGGTCGACCTGGGAACCAAGGCAATTTTTTAGAAAAGTCCAGCTCTGTCAGGACCTAAACCCACGACCTTCGGATCTGCAGGTGAGCATCTAGCTGCTACACCATGGCCGATGTAATTATAGTGACCACCGGTAAATGTGATGGAAATAAAACAAGAGGAAGGCAAAGAGATAAATACTTTGGATGGCTTGACTACACTGCATAATCAGACAGTAAAAAACAGAAATGATAGTAAACTTTGGTGGTTGCATGTGATGGTCTCGAGGTATGGCATCTGCCTCAAGTGCTGGAGGTCCCGGTGAAGGCTGGTAATTTCTCTTGGTCTCTGGATAGTAGGGCTGGACGTCCGTGTGTATTGTTGCGCATGTAAAAAATATCTTGTCAGTTGGAAATCAAAAAAGAGTAATCTGACGGCGCTGCCCTGGCTAAAATTTGGAGTTCAAAATTTGCCCAAAGTGTTTCAGGATCCTTGCCAGTGCAGCAGAGTTCATGCACTGGGCTGAGATTCTTCAGACTCAGGCTTGAGTTAGAAGTAGAACGGAGCACTCATGTGTTACACCCGTGTGCCATGATGTTGATCCGTTGAATAAACATAAACATAATTTCAAACTTATCATTATGGCACATGACATCAAGGATAGTTTATTGTTATAAGATATGATTGTATGATACCAAGGATAGTTTATTGTTATTAGATATGATTGTACAATATCGAGAATAGTTTATTGTTATTAGATTTGATTGTATGATATCAAGGATAGTTTATTGTTAATTAGACATGATTGTACAATATCGAGGATAGTTTATTGTTATTAGATATGATTGTACGATATCAAGGATATTTTATTGTTATTAGATATGATTGTACGATATCAAGGATAGTTTATTGTTATTAGATATGGTTGTACGATATCAATTATAGTTTATTGTAATTAGATATGGTTGTACGATATCAAAGATAGCTTATTGTTATTAGATATGGCTGTACGATATCAAAGATAGCTTATTGTTATTAGATATGGCTGTACGATATCAAAGATAGCTTTTGTTATTAGATATGGTTGTACGAAATCAAGATAGTTTATTGTTATTAGATATGATTATACGATATCAAGAATAGTTTATTGTTATTAGATGTGATTGTACGATATCAAGGATAGTTTATTGTTATTAGATATGATTGTACGGTATCAAGGATAGTTTATTGTTATTAGATATGATAGTACGATATCAAGGATAGTTTATTGTTATTCAATATGATTGTACTATATCAAGGATTGTTAATTGTTATTAGATATGATTGTACATTTTATTTATAACATAATGAAAATTAATTTCCACACATTTCATTGTTTGACTTGGCTAATACAGGAAAATACGACATGGAACTTAGTAGAAGACATAGAGACACTACGGAAACAACTGGGAGTAGAGAAATGGGTGGTGTTTGGTGGGAGCTGGGGCTCAACTCTGGCGTTAACTTATGCTGAGAGTCATCCTAGCAGAGTTAAAGCCCTTGTTCTTAGAGGAGTCTTTACATTACGCAGGTAAATGATGCGATTTCTTATTCTACTTCTTTATCTGCCACCTTCAGTGGAGCATAGGCCGTAAGCTCATATGCAACAAATCACACCGTTCTTTTAAACTCAATGTCTTCTCTGTGTGTTTTCATCTGCATTTATTCCTGTATAGTAATTATGCAGAGGAGCGGAAGGCTGAACAGTTAGAATACTGGGCTCTCATGCAAAAGACCCGGGTTCGAATCCTCAGTATGGCTGGAGATTATTTTCTGTAAGGGGCAAAATAAAAATACTTGCACTGTCATGGCTACAGTGCTAGCCATGCTGCCTGAAATCATCAGGTTCAAAGACCCCCCTGCCTACACCGCAAAAGTGGTATATAAGGGCAGCAATTATGCATTCATTCAGCTTTAATTAGTGCTGTTTGTCCCAAATAAGGCGTAGCATTCCCTCGGCTATTCTTCATATGTAGCAGGAAGCATTTACTCAGGGCATGCGAAAGAAACCAGACATGTTTTTGTAAGAAGGGATGTATACTCAGTTGCAGATAGTTTTTGGACATGTTGTGAAGTGAAATAAACTAGAAAACTCATTTACGACTGGCAAGCTTTTATAGGAAGAAAAGCAAAGAGAAGGCAGTGAGATAAAGAAATATCTGTACAGCTTGACTGCACTGCATACAGGGGACACAAACAAGTTCCTGATCTAAAACTGGTGGTCTTGTGCATTGATGGACGATGGCTGCCAGCACTTATCAGCCTATCAGCTAGATGCTTGCGTACCTGCCAACCTGAAGGTCCAGGATTTAAATTCTTATTAAAGCATATATATATATGAGTGACCTCTGACCTTGACTCCCAGGTCAGCTCGGTAATGTCCTGGGAAGTCAAGATCGCTCGTGTCATGTTGACCACATCACCTTTTGAGTGCTAATTGGTCTGTATAAATTCAGGCTTAACACTATAATGTCTCTTACACCAAACGTGAGAAAAGGGTTTTTTATAGTTTTCTATTGTTTTTTTAATTGCAGACAAAAACTTGGAATGTGTTTATGATTTCTGTAATGCTGTTGTTTCATGCATTTTTTTATTGATTTCTTTGTTTGCACTGCTAACAACAGGAGAGAACTGGAGTGGTTTTATGAGGGTAAAGGAGCAGACATGCTTTTTCCTGATTACTGGGAAGACTACATAAATTTCATCCCTGTTGTAAGTTTTTTTTGGGCTCTCCTCCGAACTTTAACCCGATATTATGGTGGCCATAAAATATCCTTACGGGGCTCAGGCATATGTAAAGTGCAGACTCTCTGCCAAGGAACAAATCACGGCAAAACTAGCATTACTTGACAATTTCAAGAGACGCAACATTGCAGGCGATAGTAGCAGACGATAATAGTCACGAGCAAATTAATTGTAGGAAGTTGCAGGAGATGCGGCAGCTGCTGCTCGTGAGTCCCAGCCATCTAGTTTAGTCCCCATCCGCGCGGGGGATACAGTCAGCGGTGAGGCATAGTCACAAAAACAGGTCCGCAAGTAACATATCGCTGAGACCCTGTTAGAGCATTTGTTTCGTTACACGGAGCCGGCATATTTTTAAAAGAACTGAGCCCGTAAGGATATTTTATGGCCACTACAATATCGGGTTGAAGTTCGGAGGAAAGCCTTTTTTTTTTAATCATCTCTCTATCTCTCTCTTATGGGAACTTGTATTATCTCTGCTTCATGTATGGGTTTCGGGTCCCCATTCTGTGGAAGGAAAGAAAGAATAGACTGATTGTCCCCCTAAACAGCATGCCATAAAAGTCAGTTAATTGGGAGTGTTTCCTTCTGTCGGAGTGCATATTCCTGAAAGTTAAGGAACCAACAATCCGCACACAAATAAGTCATATATGTAAAACGTACGATGATGCAGAAGTCAAGTTCTGGAATATAACCAAAATCCAAAAGTGGATGAACAGTCAGAAAGTTATGCCATAGTTAACATTCAGTGAATGCTTAAAAAAAATATAAATTTATAATTGTCTATCCTTTTTCTGTTTTTCTGCACAATAAAAGGTTGATTGGCATTGTGTTGTGATTTACAGCTCAGCACATATAATGTCAGGTGACAGGAAGGTAAAAACTGTATGCACAAATGAGCAGACCGCAAGACTGATCAAGATGATGATGGAGAGAGAATTTCCAGACAGACCTATAAACGCTCGGTGTCACTAAGTAAAAGGAAAAGGCCAAACAGAGATGGGTGGAGGCAGGTGGAATCTGCAGCAATGAACCTCAAGGTCTCAGAATGCTGAAAAAGAAGAAAACGGAGGCAGGTGGAATCAGCAGCAATGAACCTCAAGGTCTCAGAATGCTGAAAAAGAAGAGAACAATAAAACAGTTTAAGCATTTGATGGAAGTGGCAGAGAGATAATTGGCCATGTTTTGTAAACATGAAAATAATCCTCACTACTCTAATTTGCTGACTATCTTTATCAGATACCAGTTGCTTTGGTCACAAGTGCAGGCCAGTTCAAGTGGATCTGGTATTCTCGGAGTTTAGGTATATGGATGTTATTATTCACTAGGTGGAGCGTGGGGCTGTTATGGATGCCTACTACCGTCGGCTAACATCAGAAGATGAACAGACCCGTATTGAAGCAGCTAAGCGGTGGAGTACCTGGGAAATGGCAACATCTCATCTTTATATCAATGAAGAAAAGGTGAAAAAGGCTGAAGAGGAAGCTGTTTGGGCTCAGCAGTTTGCTCGCATTGAATGGTAATTATTTTATCTTTTTTTTTTCTTTATATGTTCGATATTGCACTCATCATCCCCTTCATATTCCATCCTAGGTAGTAATTGGGGAATAAAACCTGTACTATGCTAGAAAGAGTTGAAGTGATCTTATTCTTCTTTGCATTCATCGACTTAAACTCCGGTGGAAAATTATGGTTGTTTGTCGACTTGTGGACTTTGGACTTGTTTCAGAACCTGAGTTTTATGTGATCTGGCTTATTGGTATGTAGACTGTTGATTCCTTGCCTCCCAGAATGATGCCCTCTAATTTGGAAAGAATTACTACTTTTTCTTCTCTAGTCCTGTTCTGCTTTCATGGTCAGATTTGGAAGAGGCTTCGGGATTGGGTGTGAGCCTTGGTATATGATACATGGATGCTGGTATTTATGACCTTTGATATTTCCATCTATCGCTTGTGTGGTCAATCTTTAGCATTGTTTCCTTTGTGTCTGAGTGATAGGTCTCTCTGTGGCTTGCCAGGTAGAATGGTATTCCTCTGGCTAAACACTCCCTTAAACTGTGACAGGCCCAGCAAGCAGAAGTGGATTAAATCTAGCTCGAAGAAACAAGAAGAAGAAAACAGAACTATTTAGAGCTAAAAAGTAATAAAATCTCCATCAGAGGGGTCCATTCCACCCTGCTGAGATTGTGGAGCTTGAGTTAGTGACCCTGAAAGCTATGCTGGTGGTAGCATGGCTACCAGTAGGGTCAGCCGAGCGGGACATGTCAATGGGTAGGAACCAGAGATACCCTGGGCCTCCAGGTTTAAGGGGTTAGAGTGTAGGGCCAATGCCTTCACAATTTAAACTATTTTTTCTTGAAACAAAAACATAAGCATTGAAATCGAATGGATTTAAATAGATGAATGTGATGACCATGGTTTGAGGAAAATCTTCTGGTCATAACAAGCCAGTCAGAAAGCCAGTGCAAAATGTTTGTGACATGGAATACTCAAGGTTAAGAGACCAATGAGGACAGGAGTGGTGTCAGCTCCTGTCAGTTGATTTCCACCAAGGTTTATTATATACTTAGCATTATAATTGTTTCGAGATGTAGGTTTACATAGAGCACATTGTAACTAAGATGTTGTTGATGATGTCTAATATTATTGTCATTATCAATATTGTTGTCTGCTAAAACGATTCCTAACCCTTTGAAAATTAAGTTTATTTGTTCGTTTTGAGTGTAGAGTGTTGGCCAGATCCATGGTCACTCCCTCCTGCGCTATTTTATCCAGACCATAATGATATATTTGTGCCCATGAATCCAGTTGGGAATCTGTTTGTACTTCATCTACCTTTCATCACACCTCCATGTGTGTATCATCACATCACCTGGGCAGGAATTGTCAGGAATCAGTTTTTACATTTTTGCTTTTGCGCTGCCTGCAAGCCAATCCTTGCATCTGCTTTTTGCTTTGACACTTGCTAAATGTCGGACACCTTTTTATAGGTGTGTGTGACACAGGTGCCGTCGTTATTTGTGTCAGTGTACCCATACTTTCGTTAACATGCAAACACTGATTACCGTGTTCCAGTTCTCAAAGAATGTTTATTTAAGTACTCGTGATAATTGAAACATTAGTCTGGCTTCCACACAACGTTGCCAACTACTGAGTAGCCACCCATTTATTGTTATAGCTCACAAACACACTAATCCCAGGTAGTCACTGGCTACGTACATCAACAGAATGCTGGTATAAATGATCACAAATCATCCTAGCAATATGAACAAAATCATGAGAGGCTAGCGGATGCATCTGGAGCAACAATTACATATCATCCTGGCTACCACAACTAACTTTATAATCCTGGCTACACAAAAGAAACACTTGTCACAAGTATGAATAACTACTACAGCCCTCTCCACAGTTTTAAATCCAGTCCATACCAAGCGAAAAACAATTCCAACATTTTCAAGGGCTCCAATCAAACACATCCGTTCCCTGGACTGTCCGACTACTAATTGCCGTGTGTTCCTCTACCTGTTTGTCAAGTCCCCCTGTAACCTCCTCACTCAGTTACCTGTATCGCCGTGCGGGTCTACACACAACCCGTCTGACCAGTAATTGACTTGTCTGCTGTTATGAGTCAGTCTAGTCGTTGTTGCAGCATCCGTGGCTAAGGCGTTGCGAGTCTGACTCGTAATCCAACATACCGCGAACAAAACCTGCGTGGGATTTTTATCGTGGTATGGGACGTCGCAGGTCGACCCAGCCTCAAATGGGTACCAGGATGGGCTGTCCTGGTAAAGTAAAGACGGCCGGCGAAATGCTGACCACATTACCCACCGAGTGCCGATTGGTCTGTAAAAATATGGGTGCCCGATGCGCCTAAGGGCGTGTAAAGGGATCTTTACTTTACTTTTTTTACTAGTCGTTGTTTGTCTTTCTTACACAGTGTGTGGTAAAGATGACTCATGACAATAAATTTGTTCTTCAAGCATGCACACATCTGTAGTTGCATCTTCTACTTTTGTCTTTCCTCTGGTCAGCCTCTGACTCATAGATGTATCAGAAAAAAAAGCCATTTCAGATAACAAATAAGTTAAAAAGAACAGTTTAAAGTAATAATTAAGTTAGAACTGTTTATAGCAGTAACTAGGATATTACAACATACAAACTGTGTAACATAATGATAGGATTGTACAGTTTTAAATAACAGTGAAGCCAACAATTTGTGAAATTATTGGTGTCTAGATTAAAAGACAGTGCAGGATTTCTGTGTCTCAAAAGTGGAAAAGAAACTAGGTAGCAGTGTGAAACAATTGTTGCTGTTTGTACTTCAGTGATAACTCAATTAAAGGTTTCTTCGAATAATTTTGTTTTTTAAATTTAAATGAGTTATACTGTTATCTTTTCTGATCATGTTCAGCTTCCTGACACATAGACATCTCTTAATTTTTTACATAGACTGCTCAGTTATTGTCATAGTCATCATCAGGTTCCTTGCCAAATGAAAAAAGTACTAATTTTTTTCATTCTGATTTTGATCCTTGATCAGTCTTGTTGACAATATTCTCTCAGCCAGCATCTTTAGCATGATTTCTTTAGTCTTTCTGAACCTCTTCTACTGCTGGTCTTTTTGAGTCTCTATAATGTTCTCAAATACCTCTCTGTTGTTATCACAGGATCAAAGATCCCTATTTGTCTCTTCCTTTTAATTGTGTATAATCTTCATTCATTCAATTTTCCAGGCAACATTGTAAGCTACTCCTTCTCTCTAAGGTACTAACATTCATCTCATCACATCTCTCTCCCCAATGTCTTTCTGATATGTTCATTTACATCCCAGATTCACAGCCAAACAACAGGTTTCACATTACAATCAGCGTTTTATTTTTCCAACAATCAGTGTCAGTGACTTCTTTCATAAATTCTTTTTATTCTCCTGAAATGTAGCATCTGCTTGTACTGTCATGCTCTTTGTCTGTCACATATCTTCTAGCCAATGTTGTAGCTGTTGCTAATTATTATTGCTTATTGCTGTTTTGTATTTCAGTCATTACTTTGTTCATGGAGGATTTTTGAAATCACCAAATCAGCTCATTGATGATGTTGATAAGATTAGACACATCCCTGCCACCATAGTTCAGGGTCGATATGATATTGTCTGCCCAATGGACACTGCATGGCAGCTGCATAAGGTATTTATGAATCTTCACCTTCTCAAGTCTTCATGTTCACCAGCTGTAAACTCCAGCGGAAAGTCCTAGTTGTTCATCAAAGTCCTAGTTGTTCATCAAAGTCCTAGTTGTTCATCCACTTGTGGACTTGTGTCTTGTTGCAGAATTTCAGTTTTGCCTGCACATCTTTTTTTACAAATATGACTTACTTGTGTGCACACTGTTGCTTCCAGATGCACTCTGCCCTTAAATGAAACACTCCTAATTAGTCAAAATGTATGACCTAGGTCTGTTCTCCTCCCCCCCCCCCCCCCCCTCCCCACACAAAAGTCTTAAAACACACTTGGAAAATGTATCTATGAACAGAAACTAGAAATATAATTTTTGTGGTTTAAAGCTATCACAAATTTAAGTGTGCATATTTGTGAAAGTCGTGGTAGCCCTTACCTGTTGGACCAAAGGTGTTGGGTTCACATCTAAATTAGGGTGGATTTTTATAACTGACCTAAGACTCGAAGGTTCGCCCAGCTTAAAACGTATACCAGAAAATATCCTTGATAGTAAAGGCAGTGAATATTGTGTTTACCACTCACCCATCGATTGGTTTATGAAACACAGGGGGGTTTTGATAATATACCTTCCTTGTTTTGTAACATTTAGCTTGACAAACTGTTTGTGCTATCTGTACTTTTAGTATTGTCATTATTTTTATCTGTTATTGTGTTTGAAAAATAATAGCATTGGGCGGATATGTGGAAAACATGCTCACAAAAAGCTGTTTGCTGGTAAGAAAATTTTTTTTTGTTTTTGTTTTCAAACAGAAACAATAATTTTATTTTTAAAAAAAAGATTTCAGTTAAAATGTGTCAGATAACTAATGCACTAAAGAGAGTAAAATAATTTTTTATATGGTTTATCTGATACTAGACAATAAATAATTCTCTTTACAAAATGTATCTACAAATTTATATTTTAAATAATAAAAGCATTGGCTACATTTATAATTATATACCAATAATTATTTTGTGTATGCATGTGTGTGGGTGTATAAATATATATTTATGTGTACATTAAATCCTCATTAAAATAAACTTAAGAATAATACTTGTTTAACATGAACACAATTTTGGTCCTAGCCGGGATATATATATATATATATATATACTGGTGCTTTTATGAACCATGACATTAGAAGTTTGCGGCAAGTTAAGTTTATTTTTCATTGATTGTCATTTTCACTGAATCTTTGCTTTTGCTTTCAGAGATGGCCAGAAGCCGAATTTCACATCACTGCTGATGCTGGACACAATGCTCAAGAACCTGCCACAAGATCCAGATTGCTGGATGCTACAGATAAATACAAACATCTTTAGACCATTTCAGATTTCTGTATGCATTATTTATCACAGATCACAGCTTTGTTTGGTTTCAAATCAAATAAATGACAGCTTTGAAAGTCATGTCTATTCACAGCTTTTTATCTTAAGTATTCAGTCATTTCTGATATGATCTTCCATGCCACAAACTATCCAGCATCTTCTCTCTTGGTCGCCCTCTGCTTCTTTTCCTCTCCATCTTTCCCACCGTCATGATGTACTCCAGTTTTCTCCTTCTCATAATGTGACCAGACAATGTTGATTGCCTCTGTTGAATGTGGGTATTGAAGAAGAAAAAGATTTTTCCACCGGTTAGTTTCTTTCAAAACATCATTATACTTTTCATTTATCCAGAGTATTTACATCATTAGTCTGTAAAACCATATTTCTGCTGCTTCTACCTAATTTCTCATAAACTAAATTATCGAGATTCCTTCTATTCTGAATTTTGACTCTAAATAGCTTTTAAAATCTTTCCTCAGTTGACAAGTTTATATTGCGTAGAATATTCTTCATTCTGTCAAATGCCACAAATACCCAAGCTATTCTACATTTAACTTCTTTAATACATCTTCCATATGCTGTTATCAGAGAACAAAAGTACTTAAGCTTATTCACTTGCCTATGACATGTCCCATTTCTTTGATGCTGCATTTTGGGAGGCATATTTTCTTTGTAATTGCATTACTTCTGATTTTCTGTTTTAACTAAATCAAAATTATCCACGCAGATTTTGTCAAACAAACAGAAAAGAATAATATTTAAAAGAATAGTGTTTTGAAATTGAAAATAAAAAATGAATAATAAATATTTATGTGTAAAATGCATCTGACATTTCCCTCATAGACAGCCTACATCGTAAAGTTAATTCATACTTGTGCAAATCATTGACCACAAAACTTACACAAAAATATATGCAATAATGTCAAGGCTTGGATTGCTAATCATCAAAAGCAACCTAAATAACAATTGCTAGAAGTCACCACAAACAGAAAGAAATTTTTCTATGTGGGTCCCAGAGCTCCATTTTAGAGAACAAAGAATAGACCCGCTGCCTCCCCGACAAGCATCTTGTGGGAGGTGACTCATTAGAGGTGTTTCATTTGAAGTCATAGTGCATGTGTCTGAGATGCCAGAAAACAAGTCTGCATACAGGTAAGCCAGATCTGTGAAATAGATGTGCATTCAAAACTCAAGTTCTGGATCAAGACCGGAGTCCAGGTGTGGATGAACAACCAGAACTTCCCACTAAATTTTACAATAAGAAGAAGAAAAAGAAACGTGTGTCTGCAAGCACTGCTCAAGTATCTGTGACAAGTGTCAAAGTTTAGTATACTAAAAATAATAGTTTCATTTTGGCATCACCAACACCCTGTTTTAAAGTGTTGAATGTTCATCTAGGAGCTGACTTCATAACATTCAGGACATTCTCATAAGCTCTGCATCCTCATCTTCAGCAGCCGCTGAAGAGTTCCATTTATGATGGTGCCTGCAGCAATTTGATTATAGGTCTGTCTTACCTTTCCTCTGACAGCAGAGGGTCAAACAGATCCCCTACCTTGTTTTACTGGTTGTCAAATTGTTAACAATTCAGTGACTAGCACCCTGGCACCAAAAATTGTGTTAGTAATTATTTCTCCAGGACACTGCTCTTGCTCGGATTATATACCTATACCCCCTGGCAGCAATGTGGCTAGATGCATGCCTGCCACCCCGAATAGCCAAGATTCAAATCAGCATTGAGGTAGGTTTAAAAAACAACTCAACTTTGGCTGCCAAATTAACCAAGACCTGGTAATGTCTCAATGTCTTGGGAAGTAAATACAACTGGCATGATGCTGACCACGTTATTCATAGAGCATCATTTAGTGCTGTGAAGAAGAAGAGACAGAAACTTCTTTGCTTGGTCATCTCCCGGGAATATGTTAGAAAGAAAAAACAAGGAGATACACGCTCAGCATTTCACAATTATTCCTTTATCAGCAATTGTGGGGCCGTGACTGATAAATTGTTTGACAACTGTGATTCACACCCCCCCCCCCCCCCCCAAAAGAGGGAGGGGGGCACATGGTTAAAAAACATACCACAATTTATGGAGTCAAACACTGGCTACCACAGCAAGGTTGTTTGAAGCATTTCACAGTTAATGTTCTGTCAGCAGTTGTGGGGCCATGACTGATACATTATTCGACAACTGTGATTCATGTGGTTAAAAACATACCACATAATTTATGGAGTCAAACACTGGCTACCACAGCAATGTTGTTCGAAGCCTTTCAGTTAATGTTCTGTCAGCAGTTGTGGGGCCATGACTGATAAATTGTTTGACAACTTGATCTGGTTACTGCTGAAGCATCATCATCAAAAGCCTTACAAACCAGATAATCTTGCATCTATGCCTGTCATGAGCTGAGTGGTCAAGGCCTTTTGTGATCAGGTGAACAATGCAAAAGTATGAAGAGATCATACAGTGTGGAGAGAATGTTACATCGGCCAGTAACCAGATCTACACTCAAGGTGGACATATAATCAAACTGTCACTGGTACCATCAGAATTGGCAGGCTTTGCTGGCTGCTGAAGATGAGGACTGAGTACTTATGGAAATGCCGCAAGTGTTATGATGTATGTTTTTAATGCAGCATGTCGTGATCTCAAAAAGAACGAACCAGTTTGGTTTTGACATTATTCCCTGTCAAGGAAAACTGTAAATAACCTTCCAAATCACTTTATCCATAAATGTTACAACAATATTTTCCAGGTTTTACTCTACACATAATGTGCCCATAATTTTTGACTGCCTTTAAAAAAATTTATATAAAACAGTTTGGTTGTTTGAAGGATTGATAGTATTTATAGGGATACTGCCTTTATATACCACTTTTACGATGTAGGCAGGGTGGACGATTTAGGGCGGCATAGCTAGTGCTGTTACCACGACTGCAGGTGAAGATTTTTAATTTTGCCCCCGACAGAAAATTCTCCAGCCTTACCAAGGATTCGAACTTATGGGGATACAAATAATTGTTTTTTTCTTTAGTAATTGACTGATTCACTCAAAGGTAATTGTGGTTCTATGTATCATGTAAGAAGTTTCTGTTCAACTTTCAGGGCTGCAATACTTAATGCATACACACTCAGCTGCATGCACACACAGATGCACATCACATATGCAAATACTTTCTTCTGTCTGTTGCAAAAATATGAAAACAGCAAGACACTTCCAGTCTTCCAGTGTAGCTAGCTAACAAGATTTATTGGATGTTCCAGTGACATTTGAAATGTTTATGATATTTGTGTCATAGCTCATCGTGAATATTATTTGATTGCCTTGGTTTGTGTGTGTGTGTTAATTAGTAATTGATTTATGTAATTTCTTACATTAAACAAAAAGATTTTCTCAAATTAAGATCCGTTTGCTTTACTTCATGCTGTATGAGCATACTATATTGTTGTTTTTGTGTGTATGCTTTCATACTGTCAGTAGGGCATATACATTACGCCAAGACTTGAAAACGTTGACAAGATAGATTCAGCACTAGAATACACTTTAACCAACATCAACCAACTAATTAATTACGTCTTATAGATGTAGCTACCTCTAATCAGTCAACATGTAAAATAAATAAATAAAAACTTCAAGCCTTTCCTTCTTGTTTCTAATGAGTGCTAACTTGTTTCTGTAAGTCAAAGCTTTAAGTGTGTAGTTCCCCCCATCAAACCCGTCTTAGCTGGAGTTCTCTAATGTAACAACAGACTTTGCAACTATAAACATTACAATCATTAGGCACGTACATTACGTCAGATTCTAAAATTGTCTTACATTATTTAGTTCGCCCTATAGGGAATCCGAAGCACCCTCAGTTACTGTATGCATGTGCAAATAAGGTATCTAGAGTGGTAAAAGACAAGTGGGGAACAAGTGTAGCCACAATTGCCATTTGGGGGAACGATCTGTATGTAAGGATACATTCGTGCCTCCAAACTGTCTACTTGTCCTGGCCTATCTTGCTTGTCCTGGCCTATCTTGCTTGTCCTGGCCTATCTTACTTGTCCTGGCCTATCTTGCTTGTCCTGGCCTATCTTGCTTGTCCTGGCCTATCTTGCTTGTCCTGGCCTATCTTGCTTGTCCTGGCCTATCTTGCTTGTCCTGGCCTATCTTGCTTGTCAGACATCAGCTGACCACATAGCAGTGAAGAACCAGCCAATCTGACCAGCTGTTTAAAGTCAAAGGTAAAGGACCCTTTTCCGCGCCTTTCAGACGTATTGGGTATATAGGGCTAGACCTATATTTTACGGCACAAGATGGGGTGATGTGGTCAGCATCACGCCAGCTGCCTTTATTTCCCAGGACTGCATCTGGTACCCACTCAAGGCTGGGTCAACCTGGGAACCAAGGTCATTTTTGAAGAAGAAAAAAGCCGGCTCCGCCAGGGAGCGAACCCATGACCTTCCGATCCACAGGTGAGCATCTACACCACCGCGACTCCCAACACACCTGTATAAGTGGAGAAAATATCAAAAGAATGCTAACTACACGGGACCTCTGCAACGATGCTTGCTAAGCTGCATGGAACATGATCACCTTTCTCAGCATTCTTTGCGATCACAACACGTGGTATGTTATTTGTAAAAGGATCAACACCCAGAGTTTAAAACACAGCTGCATAGGAGGCAAGGAATCATGCAAATATTTATATAATTTTTGGTTTGCATACAGTTATATCATCATCAGGTGCCTTGTCGACTGGCGTGGGCGCTCATGCCTCTCCACAATCTGTGATCTCCTTCAGCAAGATTAAGTTCGTGTGCTGACACACCGCCATGCAACAAGACTGTCAAAAATCTTCTCTCGTTGACTTCCTCTATTCCCCCTTTCACAGATCTTTCCAGTGGTATGCTCTTTCCAGCAGAGTGTTTTTATGTGTGACCGTTGGTTAATGAGGGGCGGAGGGATGTTGGATTTATAAGTGACATTTGATCAGGAAAGAGAAAAAAA